AAATTTATCATACCATTTGTTATCATGGTTATTGTGTGCAGGAGGAAGGTTTGCTTGACCTGTTTTGAGATGAGTTGGCAAAAAGTTTGCTAACCTTTTTGGAGCTTTTACAAGCTCTTCTCTAACTTGAGTTGAAACAAAAGGTAACTCGATATTAAAATCAAATTCCTCAAGGAATAATCCTAATCTACACTTATGTTCATGTTTAAGAATTTCATTAGGGGCAAAAGATTCTGAACAACAAGTTCGGCGGCAATTGAACAATAACTGATTGTAAGATTCAGTTAATTGTTTGGATGAAGTTGGTTGAAAAAAGGGATAATCATCCTTGAATGCAAAATGTTGAACACATTCAGGAAGAAGGCAGAGGAATTGATGAGGATGGTAAAGAGGGAAAAGATTTAAAGTAGAAACTAAATCTCGAAGCCAGTCAATGCATAAAGTGCAATACCAATGTTTACACGATCGGCATTCTTTAGGATCTATCGAAATTTGTTCACAGAAATAGCATCGAATGCTCTTTTCTATGTCTTTTAGATCATTATTTTTAATTTGTGCTTTAGTAATACCGTGAGGTATGGCTTTTAAAGGCATAGTTTTTACTTTCTCATCATCATAGAGGTTTAGGTAAATTTTCTCACGAATCATGAGTTCAAATTTAGCTTTTAAATCGGAAAAGGCTTTAGCCTTAACTTGAACTAAATTTTTGACTTCAAAGAAGCGTTCGTTTGAAAGGTAATCAGGAAGTGGAGCTGTGGTTAACGGAGCTGGGTATTCTCCTTTCTTAAAGTTATATTCTGAGGGTTTTAGATATTTTTCGGGAAACTTTTTATCAGGATGAATAAAGAGTCGAGGATGGAGATCTTTTTGTTGAAGGGGATACTGAATTCGAGGTTGATTAGGAGGTTGAGTATTTTGAGAGGAATGAGAGGAATTGGAAGAGTTGGATTCTGGGTTTGAAGTGGAAGGATTTGAATTTCTGTTTGAATTATATGGACGATTATTTTGTGGTCTGGTTCGACATTGGTTAATTGTATGTCCAGGTTTCTTACAATAGTTGCAAACAATATGGGTGTTATGCTGGGAAGTATGACTATGGGATTTGGATTGATAAGGTTTTGTTTGATTTCGGGAATCGGTTTTCTTTAACATTTGGGAAACAGTGGAAACTTTAGGTTGGAAATTGGATTTATCATTTTTATCGGAACGGGATTTGTTGGATTGTTGTTGTTGGAGATATTCAAAATGTTTACGAATGAGATAAGTGGTAATTTGGTCTAGGTTGCCATTATAACCAAGAGTGTAAATCTCTGAAGTAAGGAAATGAGGAATATGAGACATTAACTCATGAAGGAATATTTCAGGGGAATAATCACCAACAGCTTTACTGAAGGCTTTACGAAGTTTTTGAATAAATGTAGAAGGGTGTTCAGAGAGGGTATATTTTAATTGCTTTAATTGGAAAGCGGCTGAGTATTGTTGTACTGGAGTTTTAATAGCGTTTAAAAGCGTATTAACATAAGTATGATAATCAGTAATATCATCACTAACTTCATTTTCTGCAATAGCGAGAATTTCATGAGCTAAAGATTTGCGAAAACATCGAAGACGAGTAGCATCATCAACATTTTCTTGGGCTAACTTATTCTTAGTTTTATGAATAAATTCAACCATCTCTTCACCTTTTACAAATTCAACAACTGGAGGATCAGGTCTTAAGATGGATAAGGATTGAGCAAGAGATTGGGTATCAATACCTTGGTTATGAATATTAACGGGAGGGATAGGAGGAGAGGACGCAATTGAAGGTGGAGGAGGGGGAGCTACCGGGATTTGAATACCATGTTGATTGAGAACAGCGATGAATCGTCGAATTGATCCAAGAGCAATTGGAAGAGCATATATCTCATTAGGAGCAGACCTAAAAATAGTTTCAGTGTCTCTACCAAGAGTTCTAATAATTGTTTGAATTTCGGGTTCAGTTAAACCATTTTGGCGGCTTTCAATTACCCATTCAGGAATCTCAAGATTCAATACGGAATCAATTGGTAACTCACCAATCTCGTTATCTTCGAGGGTATCACCGTAGATCATTAGGTGTGTACGGAGACATTCGTAGAAGCGTTTGAGAGCGAAAGGAGCAGCAGGGATATGAACTTGCCATTCAGCGAGATGATTAACTGCTTGGTCTGGCGTTAGCATCCGAACTACTACAACACCTTCAGGAGCGTTGAAATGAAGACCAGAACGAAGTTGCATTGTTGATAATTGGTGAAGGTTAAAATCGGAAGAAAGCTTTAGCTTTGAAGATGAGTGATGAAAGGATCACAGAAGTGATGGAGTTAAAGTTGTTGAAGATCGTACAAGCGATGAGGAATTTAAAATTGTTTGAAATGGTTTTAATTTGGAGTTGGATGTTGAAATGTTTTAATTTGAATTGAATTTGGAATTGAAATGGAATTGAGAAATGACTTTGAAATTGTCAGGAACACGGAATAAAGAAAGATCACAAAGTGATGAAGTTGAATTTCGTTGAATTTGTTGAATTTTGTTGAATTAATTGTTCTTTGAATTAAGAGTTGAACGGAATTGACTTCAATTGAGTCGAATAGCACAAGGCAAATAAGAAATCACAAAGTGATGGAGGAATATGAGTTCAACGGGAAATGCTCTGATGGCGTGACTTTGTTTTAAGTGAACAGTGAACTTTGAAGAGTTGAACGATGAAATACTCAAAGGTATAAATAGGAATAAGGAAAGAGTTCAACAGGAATGAGCTTAAAAAAGCGTAATGGTTTTTTGAAGGTTAAAAGGTTACTTATCGTAATTGGGAAACTGGAAATTGAAATACCATAAGGTATGGGTCATGCAAATGACAAACAGAACAGGTTGGGACACGGACGGGAATCCTGCCGTGGTCGCCAAGTGAAAGGTAAATGAATCTCAGAAGAGGCCTAACTTCGAAGACTGCACAACTTGCTTTCACTACAAGTTTTTAGTTCGTATCGTGGATTCTCATCCAGATCGGACAACACTATTCAGTTCAGCACTTACACAACTTTTAGATCTCAAAGAGATGAAGTAGATAGCTAAAGCTATGAACACAATTATTCGGGGCTGGAACCCTTGAGTCGCGAAGACATAAGATTGTGTTAAGATCACAAGTAAAACAATTGTAGACTCGTTTCGAGTATTAACTTAACTTGAAGTTTTTATTAAAATTGAAAAGGAATTGATTTACTTGAGAACAAAGGTTAATTTTAACGTTTTTAATGAATTTGAATAGCTTACAAAAGCTTAATGTTGAAGGTGAACTTGTCAGTTTGAGAACAAATTAACAGTTAAACAAAATATCTAAAGATATCTCTATTTATCTTAAAGGGGAAACAAAAGAAATTAAATTGGAGGGAAATTAAGTAAGAAATTAAAAATCTCTGTCTTTGTTTGTCGACTTTGGGTTGATGGTGACAAGATAACAATTAATACTGATAAAGGCTATGACGCCACTTTTTTAGGTATCTTGTACCCTTAGCAATACTGTCTTGAGACAACTTTTTCACCCTTGTTTGTAACCGTAGCCTTTGTACGTACAAAGGGATTAGCAGCTACAAGCTAAGATAAGATGAAGAAAAAGAAAGGGAAAAAGTTAACTCTTTCTTTTTATGCACAATTTTTGAGCTTAAATTTGAGTCTTGTTTAGACCAGATTTACGACCATATTGTGGTCAGATTTTGAGGCTTAAGAGCTCCTAAGAGCTTCACCTGAAGTGCACATGAAATCTATCTTGAGTAAACAAACAAAGAGCACAGAACTGAAATGTAAGAATTGAAATTGCTAAAGCAATGAGAATACAAAAATTTAAGTTAAATATGAATCTGAAAAGTAGTTAAAACAATGAAAGAAATGAATAATTGAAAAGCTTTTAAGAGCTAAATTGAAATGAAAACCAATCCATTGAACAGTTTGAATGAGACCAATTTTCCTACCCTTCAAAACCTAACCTCAGAACCTCATGACCTCTGAGAAATTCATGAAAATAGAGGATGGGGGAAAAAATGTAGAATCCGTATCCAATAACATTGAGAGAGGGGGAAAAACTTTTTTGTTATTCAAGTTGATGGTTGATTGTTGGACCAGGATTTTATGTAAAACTTTGTCATTTGAGTAAAGAGTAAAGAGGGGAGACGGCTTTTTTCACCAGTTTTTTTACCGGTTTTTCACCGTATTGTCCACCATATTGTCCACCACTCAGTCCAACACATCTACCAAATCAACGAAATAAACAAAATCAAACATCACTTTTTAAAGAAACTTTTCTCAACAAAATTGTCCATCACTTTAGAGTGGCTTTTTGCACCACTTTTTTCCGCCACATTTTCAAACAAATTTTTATAAGATCATCTACGACACAGAACTCAGATTCTTGAGAAAATTATTTTCATTTTTATTTTTTTAATTAACCATGTTGACCACTTTTACACGATCTAGCACATCCACTATTAATCACCAAAGTGGTCAAAAATTTGGTGGATTTGGATGGTGGATGATCTTATATAAAATTTGTTTGAAAATGCGTATGAAAAAAGCCACTCTAAAGTGATGGACAATTTAGTGGACAATTTCGTTGAGAAAAGTTTCTTTAAAAAGTGATGTTGTTTGATTTTGTTTATTTCGTTGATTTGGTAGATGTGTTGGATTGGGCGATGGACAATACCATGAAAAGACGGTTAGCATGGGTGGTTAAAAGAAATTTACGATCAGTCATGATCGTGCCTCAGCTTGTAGAGATAATGTTAGGGATAATATTGTTGACAAGAGATAAATAGAGAAAATAGTTTTTTCTATCTTCCCTCATTGTTCAAAGAATATCAAGATTTTCAGACTTTTCCTTACCAAAATATTCATGAGTATCTCGATCATTATCTTAAAACATTTCGTCTTCAAATGGCTCGAATTTTAATAATGAAATTTCCTAAAAATTTTCTTTTCTTTTTGCACAGCAACAACGAAGACCGTCCAGTATTGATGCAGTGGGACGTTCAACGCCTTCCGAGTTGCCGAATAGAGGTGAAGCTCTGGCTAGGTTGCAAACTCCAAACTTGGGAGCCAGGTATGAAGGTCGAAATTTGGCCATTCCAGGAAATTTGCCGAGTCGTCGATACTCGTCTATTGTTGTAACTAAAGAACGGTATTCATCGAATGAAGGGTTGAATGAAAGGCGCACTTCTGATGAGTTGAAGAGCTCAACATTGGGTGAGAGTTTGATGCGTAAAGAGACGATTATGTATAGATCGAGAGATGAACTTATATCAATGAGTGCCAATGAATCGAACATGATTGGAAGGTCGACTCCGCCCGGAGTCTCGATAACCCATGATAATCATCGAGTTTTGGGTAAATCATTTTCCGCCTCTGATAGTTCATTGGAAGATTATCCAATGGATTCCACTTCAAAGTCAACTCATGGGTCGACACTAGAAGGTGGTGAGCTTAGTGTGCTAAAACGACGTCGATCTCAGAGATCGCGGTCAGTCCATCAAAGTAATCGTCTTATGGGTTCTGATGATGTCTATGATAATTCCATCCAAAGTACCAGTTTACATGGCAACAGCAGTAACCATTTAAGCACTCATCACGCTCACCCACAACAGACCCAAAAGTTGACCGGTAATGCTTCCACTCTTGGCACAACAAATCCCATACTGAGGACCTCTTATGGAGCTCTCAATGGACCCGAGTTTTGGGATTCAAGTGAAGCCTGTAAAGGAGCTAAACGTATCAACAAAAATGCCACCAATGGGAGTGCCAATGCTTTCAATTTGCCCATAGTTTATAATGAAAATAATGTCAATGTGAACAACATGATAAATAGTAACATGACTAACAATTTAAGACATATTGCCTCAGACGTTGCCCTTTATTCACCGCAAAATGATAATAGACGTAAAAGTGATTCCCAGTCATCAGAGTACAGTGATATTCGCATTCCCAGTCCACCTCAAGAGTCAATGTCACCCTCATCTCCCGACTACTCCAGGTCACCAAGAGAGTCTGCCGATTCAGATATGCTTGGATTACGTGAGTTTCTGAAACTTTTTATACAAACGACTAATGATCAAAAATCCAAGAGTCTTAGACTTTTCGAGTTTCCAAAAAATTCATTTTTAGACGAAAAATTTTCTCCAGAAAATTGAAACTAGGGTAGATTGCAATTTCCCAAATTTCAACCTCAGAAAGTATTGCTCAGAGAATTTCGAAATTTTTAAATCAAACTTTTGATTACTTTAAATTAATTTTTCTTTTCGAATTTTCTGTAATTTTCAAGAATTTTCTAGTCATGAAAAAAATTACGATTCCAAAATTAGAAATTTTCTCTCTACTTGTGAATGAAATCTCTGTATCAACAAACAATACTCGAACAACAGTTATTCTCGAAATGATGACTTTCCATTTCTCCCACAACTATTACCATCGATAGCATCAATTATCACTCTAACGCAATGAAAACACTCCATGAAAAATTATTAACAGCCACTTGATCAATTGGACAGCAATTTATTTTCCATCTTTATCATTGTAACCAAAGAGAAGAAGAAAAAAAGAAAAGGCAATTTGCTTTCACTAGTAACCTCATCATTTCCCATCATCTTATCATCCTCTTCTTTCCCACCCTCATCATCATCATCATTCCAAGAGCATAAACTATCTTGAACCATTTCCTTTTTATTCGAGTCTTTACCTTTTTCTTTCCTACTTCATCTTTTTACTATCTCTTTATCACTCTCATCATTCACAATCTTTATCCGTCCATCTTTTTCTTCATTTTACCTCTTTTCTTTTTTTCCCTCCTCTTAACACATTTCATCAGAGCATTCAAGATGACGATGAAGAGTAAAATAATATCAGCACAAGAAAAAGAAAGGATGAAAGGGAAAAGACGTAAAAATAAGAAGAAAAGAAGATGAGAGAAGAAAGAAGAAGAGAAAAAAAATAAAGAATAAAGAACACGAATGTTTACCAAGCTTTACCATTACACATCAATCACTCCCGAGAGAAAGACTTTTCAGCCTTTTTACCTTCACTTTTATTCATTTTCAGGTCAACCTGAGTATAATAATAAGTACAAGGTGTAGTAGTATTAATGTTTTCCCTGAGAAGTTACGAGTTTATTTCAGCCTTCTTCTTACTCCATCTCATCATGCTTGCTCTTCATTGCAACCTCTTTACTCCTCTTCACTTCTCAATTTAAGGCAACTTGTAACATTTATCACTGTTTCACTCCCAGTGTATTATCATCATTATCATTTCCAAATGATAACTCATTAATATCAATATTATCTTTTAACATCAGCATTTTTGCCTTTTACCTTTTCACATAACTTCATTTCATCAGGCAAACCAGCAACAACAATAAACTCAACAAAAGCAAACTGTTCACTTAAATAATTATTTTTATCAACAAGAATGTTCAACTTCCAATATTTCTTATTCTTTCAAGTCAACGATGGCCAACAATTTTCATCTTGCCTTTCTTCTTCTTCTCTCTTTCAGCAACTCACAAACCTTTTATATTATTTAACCTTCATGTATTGTTGGTTCAGAATTTCATTTACAGATTCTTCTTTTATCCATTACAGGCCAGCAATCAGTTAACAGTTTTACCACTTATTGATAATTGATGTGATAATATTGGCTTGTGAAGAGAGAAAAAGAAGCCCAGAGTAAACAAATTACATTTTATTCGCATATATAAACTTTTCTACTCCATGATATAATATTGCATTGAATAAACATATTTATCACTCCCAATCAGTTAGCATTCTATTGAAAAATAATCACTCCACATCACAAGTTGCCTTCCCAAAGCAAATGAAACTTAACAGATAATTTCAGTTTGCAAATAACATTCCAGATCAATAATCAACACAATAAGATTACTCTCGAGGCATTCTTATATCATATCAATATTCACTCCCAGCATTCACTCCCAGCATTCACTCCCAGCCTTCCCTCCCAGTATTTACTCCCAGCAAATATGATAACAATTATTACGGGGATTATTATATTTACAGCTTTTATCTTTCATCGTTTTATTGTATTTCATTTTTCTTTACATTGTTTCAATTGATTTCATGATTGCCATGTTTATCTAAAAGAATATCATTTATCGTTTGCAGCAACAATTGGACCTTTGCCCACGCAACGTCGATCCATCCCTTCGGTACTTGTTGACAATGCAGTGGATACTCATCATCTTACCCTCAAAGACTGTTTCCCTCGTCGTTCCAGCACAGGTCGAGCTCTACCTCGAATACCTTCTGAACAGGTAAGATCATTTTTTATGCAACTCTTTTTTTCTCTCATCGAAAGCGATCAACAATTTAAAGTGAAAAAAAAGTTTTCAATTATGCTAACCAGATGCTTAGGAATGTAAATATTGCCTCTAATTGAATTCAATTTTGCTTGGAGGTAAAGGTTGGAATTAGCTTGAAATAATAATCATCACTATGCAAGTTGCTATCTAATAATGGGAAAAAACTTTTTCCATCAAAATTATAAAGGAATTTTTGTTCAATAAAATTGAATGAGAAAAGAATTGAAAAATTCCAACTGCTTTTTTCTCAACCCTTTTTTTCAATGTTGATACGGAAAAGATAAACTTTACTCGAAACACGAATGAAATTCATGATGAAATCAAAAGACAATTTTCTTCTCTGTAATTAAACAATCCATTACATTTACGTGATTATCATCAATATTCATCTTTGTTCATCTGAACTGGAAAAGCAAAAAAAAAGATTCAAATTCTGTTGAGAAAAATAAGAAAACATTGAAACATTTTCTCTTTCTTTGTTTCTCATCAGAAAAGTTCAAACAATGATATTGACACATTATTAATAACAAACTTTTCGAGTCAGCATTTTGTTGGCTTTTTGTGCAATACAATAAACAAATGCATTGTGATTCAAAGTAAACATGAGACAAAAAGATGTTTCATGTTGGAATAAATTTATCATTAAATTGATTAAAATGTAATGCCAATTTCATCGAACTCATCAATTTTTGTTCTTCTTCAATCACAAAATGATTCATTTCCATTGATTAGTCAACTTGAATTGGTTCACATTGAGGGAATCGTTCAAGTACAAGAAAAGCCATTTAAACAATTTTACGCCAAATTTTTCGTTCTTTTGCTTTCCTTTCATTTTTCACCTTTCAATGAATTTCGTTTTTCGTTGCTTGCTTTCAAATGTTTACTTGTTTACATGAATCATACTCTGAGCCATTGAGCAAAAAAGAGAAAAAATTTGATTCCATTTATTTGACCTTTTCGTTAGACTTGCCAATCATCATTACCTTTCCTTTTGCAAACAAAAATTTATATTCTTTGACCAACTCTAGTTTTCTCGATTTTCCTTTTCTTTCTCGTTCATTTCATTCCGAATAATAAAACCATGAATTCTAGACAAATTAACCCTTCATGATGGTAACCATTGAAAATGTTTACCCTAATGATGATGATTATCATTATGGTTACCATTACCTTAATTATCGTTGTGTTCAAGCTGAGAAGACAGAAGAAGAGCCATTAAAAGATTCATTTCCTTTGACACTTGCAACCCAGAAAACAGGTCAAATTATAGTTTAATTAAAATGCATTAATAGGAAACAAATGAAGAGAGAAAAATCATCAACTCAATGGTCAACTGATAATGAACTTGCTCGAACTACGTCAAAAGGTTAACCGTAATAGCCATCGATTTTGGATGGAGAAAAAATCTCCACTCGAATCCTGTTTTAATGTTGAAGCACTCGAATGATCGATTGCCTGGCAATATGCTCGAGTTTGAACTCTATTTGTATCAATGTTCATCTCATCATTTCTCACACTTTCGTTTCGATCCACAAAGTAATAAATATTGAAAATATCGATTTCGAATCAATGAAACTTGAAAATTTAGAAAAAAAACTTGTTCTCTTGGATTTTGGTCTTTATGAGCGAAAAAGCATTTTGAGAAAGCTTAAGAATTTAAATTCTTTTTCAAACTTTTATATTAAAAAAAAGTCTTTTAATCGAGAAGAGTATTATGTCTAAGCTTAAGTCTTCATTCTTTCAATTTATCTTTTCTTCGTGTTCAATATCGAACTTTCAGGTTTATCAATTATTCATATTCAGGGAGTTTTTTGACTGGGAGTTTAATTTACTTTGGTAACCAGGAGAGAGAGAGAAAAGACTTTTTCTCTTTTTCCATTTGAAAGGTGAACCAAAGCTAGGTTGGTCAGATTGGCAAGTGCATGAAGAGGATTTACAAGGTTAATTAAGATTCATTCAATATGAGAATCGGATATCAAGTGGATCAATGAAAATGGCAAGGTTGATTGGAATAAAAGGCAAGAAAAGAAAAGGGAATAAAAATTGATGAACAAAACAGAGTAAAAGGTTAAGGATAAGAAAATGCTCTGTTCGTCTATGGATATCATAAAGGTAATGTCCAAGGAAAAAAAATGATGATAAAATGAAGAACAAGATAGAGAGAAAAATATCGAGTAAAAGATAAGCAGAAAAAGGTAGGAAATAAGGTATAAAAGTTGTTAGAGAAAAAGTTGCCTTTCTCTCTTCGCTCTCAGTTGCAAACCAATGTTGACTTGACTTGATGTTGAAAAGTTAATATTATCGATCTTGGGAATTCTTCCTGCTTCACCATTTTCTTGTTCATCAGTTTCATCAGGAGAACAGCAAGGAAAAAAAAGGAAAAACCGAGTCCAACGAGATTGCAAGTCACATTGCAATTTCTTTCCAATTTTACTTCTTTGTGATATTCACTTCACTTTAATCCCTTTCTTTCCTCTACTTTACTCCAACCTTTATCATATTACAACTTACTCTTTACTTCTGTGGCTCTTTACCTGCGTAGGCAGTCATATCTCAACATTTAACCACGAGCTTGAAAAGTTCATTTTTTTCTATTTTCCTTTTTGTTCGATTGAAACTCAAAACTCGAAATTAAATTCATTAAGATTCTTTGAGATTGATTCAAGGTTACTTTCCAAGCTCAATGAATTTCCAACAATTTTCAATTTGACTTTGAGTGAGCATTGGATAAACGCCATCTACAGATTGAATGGAAAGACAATGTTTACCTGTTGCTGTTGGTTTCATGAAAAGAGAAAAGAAAACAGAAACGAAATTCTATTCTTGGATTTTTTTCTTCTCTTTTCATCAATTCTATCAACTATCTCTGGCACTCTCATGTTTCTCATCCATCTATCATTTCCTTTTCCATACATTTTCTGTCCATCATTTCAGCCATTTTTCTCTGTTCGATTCAAACATTTTTCCCTTCTCTTTACCATCTTCGCCATCATCCAATCATGATCATTGCTTTTTCTCTCCTTCTTCTTTACTCCCATTATCTTATTATTTTCGTCTTGTAATCCAATTGTTGAATTATTTTCTCGCAATAATCCAACAACATTTTCCTTAACAATTTTTCATCTCTTTTTTGCACTTTATTTATACTTTTTTTCCTCTTCCCTTCCTGATGCCATCACACGTTGAGAAAAGCCTTCATGATACAGAATTGATTTACAGTAAAGTTTGAATGAAAAGACATTTTCTTTTGCCTGTTATCCAACCTTGTAAAAGCTTTCAAAACCACAAGAATAAAAATCACATAATATTCAACAGTTGATCTTGAACACAAATTCAACACATGATATTCAAAGTTGTTTTTTTCGTCATTAACATTCGTTTCTAAAAAGTTCAACTTTTCTTATAACATTTCCTCAATCAACATTCTTATCATTATTCAACCACTTCAACAGCCTCAAGTTGAATACACCAAAAAACACGAAAAAATCGAGTTCGAGCATCAAATTTCCCTTTCTTGATTACCTTTACTAATGAATATTTTCATCTTTTGATAACTTTTCCTCCCAGTGAATGAAAAACAAGATTCTCTACAAATTGAGTCAAAACACAAAGCAAAATCTGATCCAATAAGTTTTTCTCAAAATTTTTTTCTCTCCAAAATCAATGTTCTATTCAATGTTAAATATAATTACGAAACTCACAGTTACAAGAAAGATTATGAAACATCGAAATAATCAAAATTTGAAATTTTTGTTGCATTGATTTTTCGTTGGAACGAATGAGCAAAGCTAAAAAATCAATTTTCCGATCAAGATGATGATTAGATAAATAAATAGTGAATATCAATGTTATCATAATATCGATAGCAAATGTTTCATAATGAAGTTTCAGGTTCAGACTAATATGTTTGGATAAACCTTTGAAGCTGTTGATTAAACAGAGAAGAATGTAAACTTGAATATCATGATGGAATGCTTTGGAAGAAGTTTTCTTTAGGTAAATGCGTGAGACTTGGTCTCTACTTTTACTGATCATGATGATGGTTGGTTATGATGGAGATAATGTTTTGCTGTGTGTCAAGATGAAAAATGAACACAAGTAGCAAAAAGTAAAAAGGCAAACCTGGAAAAGTTGGAGTCGCTTTTATCTCTTGTTACCTGTTACTCTTAGTCTGTTGCTTTAACCTTCATTCCAATCGAAACATTCATTGAAATGTAACTTTATCTTCTCCACCAACATTATCAGAAAAACTAGGTCATCGTGTTTACCATCATTCCCTTCATTTCGCCTCTTCACTCCCAGTCTTGAACTTTGATTCCTTTACTTTAATAAAATATTAATCAAAACAACTTTTCAACATTTCCATATTCATTCTAAGCAAAACTTGTAAAAATAAATAATTGATGATTTGATTCATTATGGAAAAGGATGGGAATAGGAATAGAAGTAAAATTTACAGAAAATCAAGTTTCGCTCAATTCCAAGTAAACATGAGGCGAAAACAACTTTTTTCCTGAAAACATTATTCAACCATTTTCCAAACCTTTACAAGCTCAGGAAAAGCGGAAAACATGTTAAGTCTTGATGAGCTAATGATTAACCTTTAATTAGGTTTATCAACTTTTGAGTGAGAAAAGAAAATTTTGCAAAAGAAGAAAAAATTCGTTTCCAATTAGATGATTGAAAGAATCTTCAGGTTTCAAGAGAAAACCATTTTCTCCAAAAAAAAGAGTTTCTTTTAAAATTAATAAATTGATGTGGAAAATGAATGTTAATATTAAATTGGAAAATGCAAAAAATCGATAAATCGTTACGATTACGCATTCTCTGTACAGGGAGTGATAACTTTACCCTCCAAGTTACGCACTTGATAACAAGAGAAAGACTAAAATCTCAGGTAGAGAAAGTCATTCATGGAAATGAAAGTATATATTTGTAAAGTTTATCGATAA